TTTTTTTTTTTTTTTTTGTGGGTAAACTTGAATGATTGGTCGGGTTGTTCAAAACCCGATAAAGCTAACCCAGGATTGGCGAGAATTTTGGTTTCAGTTTTGCAATTTTCGGTGAAGTTTTCGTTTATATTATCTGTACTTCAGTTTCAATTTGAATGATCTCAAGCTACACAAAACACAAGCAGTGAAAAACATTTTTACACAAGAAAAATTGATACTGGGGTTAACTTTTAATCCTGGGTTAGCGTTAACCGGCTTTTCAACAACCCGCCCCTAAACAACTGTCAGGATTCCTTCCCCTTGCAACAAGAACGAAAGTGTCTGAAAACATTTGCAAACGAAAGCGCTAGTACAAAGGTCAAAACACTTTGACCATTATACTGTTAAAGGTTCGTATGACCTTTCTTTCTCGGCTTATTTTGTGTCGCGGTGAAGACAAGACTTCACAGTTTCCTCTACTGTACACGGACAGGTTCCTGTTCATTAAAAATGTGACTTGTGAGTAAGTTTGTTCGTACCTTGATAGTCTTGAGAACAACCTTCATGATGTCCGACCCGGTGTAAGTATCATCAGCCTCAAAGTCATTCCTCAGCATGTGGTAAACCGTGTTCATTATCCGCTTGACCTACAGAATGCACACAATGATTACAGCATGACACGCAATAGTAACGCACGCACTACATGCAGGGAATGCACTACACCTATAGTCACGCAATGTGCACTACACCTATAGTCACGCAATCGATGTCACTCAGTTAAATTATTTCACGCTCAATGGAGGATATAGGATGTGCTCTAAAGTTACCAGCCCGCCCCCCCCCAAAAAAAACAACAACAACAACAGTTTAAATAGCTGCAGAAGAAAACACTATGCAGGGAAACATTTTTCACCCTTGAAAGCTGTTAGCATCTTCTCTTTTTGGTGTAAACAAACTCAAACTTCTGCATCGTTCTTTTAAAGTTGTAATTTCCCGAGGATACAAAGTACAGGGGAGAAATAAAATCACCAAGTCGGGAAAACTGTTCTGATACCCGAACACCTTCTCAGCAGTTAGCAGTTAGAGAACTGTGGACTGATCAGCAATTTACACATTAGAACTGAAATCTCTAACCATAGTTAGTAGAGGGGACTAACTATGCTCTAACTTACTTCATCCGTTACGTTAACTAAGGGTTGTTTTTCGTAGGCACCAGCCTGTTCTTTTCCTTCCTTCACACCTTTCCTATACGCTTCAGAAACTGCAGATTCACGCTCCTTCAACCAAAAAGGAAAAACAAAAAACAAAAACAAATAACGTTCAGACCTTGCGAAAACCAAGCATAGGCAAAGCATACAAAGGGCTATGTTTACAACTGAAACCCTTTTCATTCATGTAACCAGAACAAAAAACGAACAATTGTTTCACCTCCACTGCAGATGCCAGTTGCTCCTCGAATTGTTCCTTCATTTTCAGTGTTCTGGAGCGAACCTCTTGGTACTGTTGTAAAAGAATAATAATAGAAAACATCGTATTAGTTGAGGTACATAACTTGGAAAACAAATCTTACACGTGCAAGTACATGTACATTCAATCCAAATGGACATACTCCCGATTCTACATTGGCTGTGCTTTACATGAAGCACAATACAGTGTCCAGAGAAAATGATACTTGGTGCAAATTTGTCTAACTGGTTGTTAACCCAAATTATATATCCACAACATATTGTGATGTTACTTCTCTTGAATGAGATGCTGTTGTATCGAAGGTTACCCCAACATTATGTCAGGTGGACGTAGCAATTGCTGGCACTCACTGATACATCTGGGTTCAGAGAGGCACTGTGAGAGGAAAGTGTCTTGCTCAAGACCACAGCACAGTGACCCGGCTAGGGCTGAACCCAGACCCCTCAATCCGTAATCCAAGGCGCTAACCATCAGGCTAGCCTGTCTCCCACAAATCATCACCAAAATATGTTTTACTTCTAACCTTGGCTTGTAATGCATCTAGTTCTTGCTGTGTTGATCGCAGTGTTTCCATCTCGGAATCTTTGTCAGTTTGTGCAGCTTGAAGTCGCGTATACTGATAAACACAAACCAGTATTAATTAACTTGGCTGATATAAGGACGCTTTCCTTTCATTAATCTGATTCTTTTTGGTTTTCACTTTACTCTAATGACTCTACTTTAATGTTTAAAACTCCCAACCTTTTCGCGTATTCCTTCAAGGTCTTCTAATTTCTCCTGGAGATCTTTGATCTTTTCCTCCTTTTCATCTTCGCTTGTTTTCAGTGATGAACACTATTAAGAAAAAAATAATGAACTCATAAAAAAAGACTGGTACAAAAAATAGCAAGATCTTAAAGTAATACTAATTAAAAAAATCACAGAATATAATCTCCGCTCTCTAGCCTTGTTTGGCGAGGACATAAAGGGTAACATCTACGTAACTAATATAAACAAAAAACAAAGCTCTATAAAAATTGTACAGCTAGCTTCGCGAAGCGAGTATGCAGTTCTAACCTTTTCTTGAAGCTCTGCCAATTTTTTGACCGTCTCCTCTTTTTCATCCGACACTTCCTGAAATCTCCTCTTCCATTTCTCCTCCGTCTGTGCAACCATCTTTTCTGCCTTTTCTGTCCACCTGGATTCGAGTTCCGCTTCCGCCTGTGCAACCTTATTTGCAATCATGACAAAAGCATTACAAACTGATATATTCCACTTTTCACTCCAAGAATGTTACCTCAACCTTTGTCTACTTACTTTCGTACTCGAGCACTAGAAGCGTCACCGAAGAATTCCTAGCCTGCCTAGCAGGCGTTCTTTATTTGCAAAAGCACGCGAAGGGTACGAAACTGCGAGCGAGTGCGAAAAATACGTAGCAGGGTGCGGGGGTGGGGCAAAAAATGATTCCTTTCCTCCTCACCCCCTCCCACTTCTTCTCCTTTTTTGCTCACCCCCTTCGCACTTCTCCTCATTTTTTGCTCACCCTAGGCGCGCTCGTTTGCTTGCTCGCTTGTTCGATGTCCCCGCCTGCAAAATGGAAAGGAAACGTCTGCTACGCAGGTTAAAGAATTCCCGATCCTTATTGTCCAATCAAAATTAGCGAAAGCACTCGGACGAAAGTTGCCGAATGTTGCGTTGAACAAATCTTGAGTGAGAAAAAAAATTCATACAAAACAAAATCACGACCTTACCTGTTTCGCTGTGACTGATCCACTGCTTTGCTTTTCCTTTCTATGTTTTTCCTTCAAAAACTTTATTTCTTCCTACCGGAGAAGCAGAAATGTGTTATTAGACACCGGCACAAAACAAGCTCTGTCATGTAAGAAGAAGCGTTTTGCGCCCCGCTGGTTTGCCAAAAAAAAAAAAGAGAACCATTACTGTACAAAAACAAAATAATAGAAGGTGAGAAAGTAATAAAAAGATGCCAAAGTAATGTTAGATTTCACAGTAAAGATTGAAGTTGATTACTACTAAATAACAAAACTAAAGTGTTTACTTACTTCCTGTTGTGATCGCAGTTCTTCCAGTTCCTCTTCGAACTTTTTCTTGTCCGCTGCATGTTTCTTTTTTCGATCTCCGAGACCCTAAAAACACAATTGTTCATTTTAACAGACAACCAACTTTGTAAAGTTTTCTGGCACCTGTTCTGTCTCTACTAGGTCACACAGGGCGATACACAAACAGCTTCACTTTTCAAGTTCGAGAATAACCAAAGCCAAAACTGGGCGAAACTACAATGACGCCGCGTTGAATTCTCATAAACTAACATCATAAGAGATAAGTGGCAACCCTCATGGAGAATTCCTATCTCGGTTTTGGTATTGAAGGGGTGCACTTCAAAGGAGAAACGTGGGCTATTTCAAGAAGAACTACGAGACCAGTGGTATGAGAATATGAGCGTACATTTAATCGTAGGATTGTTGAACTGGATCGCACTGAATAAATCCCTGCAGAGGAGCAGTTTTTTCAATTAAGTATCGTAAGACCAAAACCAAAGTAATCACTCTAGCCAATCACGAAGGACACAGACAATACAGTAAACCAATCAAAATTCGAAGTAATTACATGTAGCTGACGCGACGCGCAGGAAAATGCGTGCGAACGAGGCAAAATTGGTTTTGGTTTTTACTTCTGATTAAATGAAAAAGTGGCGCGAGCTTTATAAGACAATGGTGCAGCGTAGAAATGCAAAACCAATAACTTTATGAAACTCGAGTGAAAACCGCTCTATAAACTGTGCACTGACAAATATCACTAAAACAATTTTGCTGAGTGCCAGACAGTGCTCTTACCCTTTCTAAACTTTCTTTTTCGTGTCTTAAATCATTCAGTTCTTCTTCAATGTGATCTACTTTGCTTTCCAGTCTTTTTCTTGTCTGTTTTTCTTCCTTGAGACTCTGCTTCAGTTGATCGCTCTGTTCAGTACTCTCTACAGTCACGCACACACAAAAAAAACAACAATTCAATGACACAACCAAATCGCGCGTTCATTTAAATCAAAGTTAATAGAGGAAAATGGTTCAGAAACCCGATAAACATCAAAGAAGCAAACAAACAGGCTAAGATTTTTATGTTGGAAGGTCCTTGACCCTTCACATCTTTTTTTTGTTCAGACTTTGCATGAATTACATAATCGCAATGCTTCTATTGGTTAGTTGTATGAGCACACATAACCACCTTTTGTATTACGATGTCAGGTTTTGTGCAGGGTCAACGCCCAAAATAGCCAACAAAAACATACAACAAAGAACTTTACCAGGTTTCCTAACCATTTCCCGCTATTAACAATGTTTAAACTACCTATGTTAGGTGTGCACTACTCTGGTCACTGTACAATACTAAAAGAAGTAAATACCAGACGATACAGATCCAAATGTTTCACATCTTAACTCAATCTAATCCTTTGCTCTTTGCTAAAAACGAAAGAGAGTTCGAACAGTGAAGAGTAAACGAGGCTCTGCTGTCTGATGCCCTGCGCAATATTTACAAATTCCAACTTATTTTAAGTGGACTCATAAATGTATTTGCAAAAAACACACGACCGCAAAGAGATTTAAAATTAACCTTCACGTACTCGTAGCTACACTATCAATGATGTCAAAGTACATTCGTGCTGCAAATCTTCCAAGAAAGGAAAGATTCAACAGACAGTTATAGTGGCTCTTATCGGTATTGTGAACAAACCGCATGAGACGGCAAGAAAGGGGAAGGGTTAAACCAGTAGCAGTCAGACCTGTGTGTGAATCTTTAACACGTGTGAGCTCATTTCTGTATTTGTCAGCTTCTGACGTCACTTTACTAAGTTGGCTGCTGAGTTCCGCCTCTCTTTGGCGAAGAGATGTGACTTCATTCTGAAGTGCTGCTAAGTGTGTTTTGGCTGTTGTCAGTTCCCCACTCATGGATATCTGTGAGGCAGGACAAAAACAACAAAACAGCTTAATTAGGGCTTCAGAAATGAAGCCTATTAAGCCCATCTGGCTCATATAGCTCTTTAATGTGCTACGTCACGGTTTGCGCATCTTGAAAAGTTTGGCCTAAATTTTTGAAGTTCGTGAATTGTAATCGGTGTTAATCTTCTGCATCCTTAACCATCGTTATTCCTTTATGGTTTATTATTCTCTCTTGGGCGTTTTTCTATCTTAGTAAATTATTATTTTCAGGTTTCTTTCATTGATCTAAATCTTATTTTGGACGCGGTCAAAATAACTCAAAATACCGTGACTTAGCTCTATTAACTCCTGTTTTTGTAGGATAAGTTCGCTAGGAGTATTAACTACTCCCCTTGGATAGATGCTACAGCTTCAGTCCATAGCGGGTTATTCTCCAGTGAGAGAGTCAATAAGGAGTCACAGTGAGATAGACCAATACGATCGTGATGTTTCTTCCCCTACTGACGTTTCCTTTAGTCCTTCGAGTCCTTTGGTGTTCCAGCCTCAGAGCCTAACCGCTGTATAACGTTACGTATCTTATCTTACGTATCCAAAGTAAAACAAAAGACTTTTCTTGCATTCTGCACTAAATGAGAAACTTGATGAGAGCAGCCTTGCACACGGTTAAGAACTTTTGTGAATGGCGATTTTTGAATCCATTTTGAAGGGAAAAATAATCTCTTAACATTACTGCCTAAACAAGCTTGACTTCAACTGTACATGCACATCAAAGAAAATATTCTACACAACACCTTTTCTTGCTCAAGGGATAACACTCGTGCTTGCGACTGCGCGGTGTTTACTTGCAAGGAGTCGCTCCTCTGTTCCAACATTGTGTTGCTCTGTTCAACAAATCTGAAATTCACATTAAATTTTTCATACATCAATCAGTTATACTCCTGTAGCAAGCCCACTAAAGTTAATCAACATGATGGGCACATTACAACACCAGTTCTCCAATGACCCTGAAGACTAGAATTTTTTGAATTTTAAACTACAAATGACTGAATAACTGGTAAATATAATCATGATGCACACGTATACCTCTGATTCTTCTGCAGTAAGTCTGATATCTTGTCATTAAGCAACTCTATTTTTTTGGACTTTTCTGCACCTTCAGCTTTAAATTTCTCGTTTTCCTGAAAGCAGATACATGTAAATAATTATGAGACATCACAAACAGAATGATATTTCAAATTGCACATGCAACTAAATTGTATCCAAGGTTTAGCACACGATAATGACCTGATCAACTACTCGAATAGTGAGCAACCTACAGTAGTGGTCGTGGTAGAACTGTCAGTTGGTTATACTAAAACAGTCGGACGGCTTGGTCTTAGTTTCTATAGACTTCAATAACTAGTTGGCTTAGGGCTTTGCACCTCGCAAACTATCAGCCACTAGAAACCTGGCGTTCTTACATGTAAGTTTCTTCACACAGGGTACCTGCACTATTCGAGTTACGTTGTGAACTAGAACAGCAGCTTCCATTGCAGCTTGTGGATTGCCAAACGCACCAACACCAGCCATCTGACCAACAGGAGTCAGTTGGCCTGATAGCTGACCTGAACTCTGGTGATGACGATCAACCTATAGAGATCACAATAAAACGATAAAGACAGAGAAACAATGACAACAAAAAGAAGGACATTGTAAAATAATTGCACTGCATGTGCTTCTTCCACCTCTTCTTCTACTACACAATTTTTTATCACTTCTTCGGAAATTGAAAACAATAGAACTTTTCAAACCATCAGCCCTTAATGTTATAGCAATCGCCTACACAATTTCATCAATAGCAATTTGACCAGTACAATTATGGTTTCTTGGAAATAAAGTGTTTGTCCACCAGGTGGTCGCTTGCAAGAATTGGTGACACAGGGAAGTTCTACTGTATTAACAATTTTTGAGTGGCAGTTAAATTTTGGATAATTTCGTGAGCAGCATTCAAATATGATTGGAATGGCCAACACACATTTCCAAACCAGCAGACAGAATTCATCATCCGTCCCTTTTGCACCATGGGACACATAAGGCCTTTGCAGCAGAATTCACTCACATTAAAAGTTCCCTACATCAAATCGTATGCTTGCCTCAGTCCATGAAAAGAGAATGGATCACAGGGACACAAGAACCTCCTTGTCTTACCTTGTTTGAAAGCTCATCAATCTTGTCTGACAGCTTGCCAATAGACATGCGTATCTCCCCCTGTTGTTGCCTTGTCTCTGCCATCAATACCGGGACCATGGCATCATTAGCAGTGGGCTGTGGTGGAGGCGGTGGAGGGGGTGGTGGTGGGGCTGAATATGGTGCAGTTATAATTTGTGGCTGAGGTGCCATCATAGGATAACCCATACTGACAGGTGGCTACAGAATAAGAGATATAAAACACAACAAATCAGTTTGAATTTTCTAGGAGAAATTAACTGTAAAGGGTACAGTACTGTATATATGTTGGATCAATTTTGGTACAGTTTGGTCAACAGATGCCCATTTACTGTTTCAGAATAATACATGTATATTGTGAATATATTGTGTTTTCGGTCAATTATTTATTATACCACAAAATTTATGAGAAGTAAATGTCCTTCGCTGTACATGTTACTTGTATATTTATGTAAAATACTCTTTCAAAGTGAAGATGCTGTTGTAATGTGGCTGATTAACGGTAATTGAGAAGAACGGCTCCCATTTTAACTGTCAGCCGACATACATGTACCTAATACCATGAACATGTTACGAACAACAGTAAACTGCCATTGTTACGTGTAAGTACTGGTATGTGTGTAGGCCAAACGTTAGATTTTACTGTAAAGTTATGAACATCTTGTAATATCTTATTCCAAAATTTATAGCTTTGTTGAAGGGGTTTCAACCCTGATCTTCCACACACTCAACATGACCACGTACAAAGGTGAAAAAATGCTTGAAGCCAAAATAATAGCCAAACATTAAAAAAGGTTCTTCAATAGTTCTAATATGTGTTCAAGAAAATTATAGACCATACATGCAGGAACAGCAAAGCACAAAATGTCTGAAATTCCTAAAGAGCAGGCAATAGTTCATACCTGTAGGTAGGGGTTCTTATAGTGAGTTAGTTCAATTGTGATGTGGAAATTAATTTATTTCCTAATAATAATTCTTAGTTTTTAATATTTTTTTTCATTTCAGTAATCAGTAAACTGACCTGATATAGTGCCACCTGCTGCTGTGGTGTGAATGCTGATGGCATCATTGGCTGTGGGTTGATAACAGGCTGTTGTATTGGCTGTGGAGCAGGTGCTGGATTGTGAACTGGCTGGTGAACGTCAGGATGTACTTGAGGTGCCGGTCTTGGTGGAGGGTGTGGTTTGGTTCGTACACTGGGATGCGGGTTGGAGCTAATGGGTGGTGGACTTGTTGTGTTACTCGCTGTTCTCTCTTTTACATGGGGCTCAGCACTGTGTGGAACCTCCTATATACAATTTAAAAATAATTTGATTTATTTCTTTAGTACTAGATTATTTAAAAAATGAAGCATATTGTATTTGATGCTACATCATCATCATCATCATCATCATCATTATCGCTGTCATTGTCAACATCATCATTACTATTGTCATTGCCATCGCCATCACTAATAATAGATTATACAGATAGGGAAGACTCTACATTTGTGCCCTGACAGTCTGCACTTACGAGAGTGCATTAAGCAAATGCTTAGTACCATAAAAATCTTGGTGAGGGGGCAAGCACGCTTTTAGGAACATACAATTTAATTGCATGTATGTACAGTGCACATCGACTGCTATTACAACACAGCTCTTCGGCTCTTTTGTAATTGATTCAATACCACTACCTGCTCAGGTTCTTCCATATCCTCATGTTCAGGTTCAGCTACCGCTGCTCCAGGCAAAGATAATGGATTCTTTCCCATTTTGGACATTCTGGCAAGTAAGCGAGCCTTGTCTGTGCCTTTCTCAGGGGACTGATCCAAATAACGAGCAGAGCAGAAATTATTGTTTAAAATTCACCTAACATACAATGTATGCTTCCTTGAGCTACTGACTTACTACTTAACTAACTGTTTGTGAAAAGGTTCAAAGTGGCAATTTTCTTTTCTTTTTTAAATCAAATCATTTATAATAAAAATTGTAAATTCTTAGGATTTCACCTGACCAGGAATTCTAAAAGCAGATTGCCATAGCAAACCCTCATGCAAGGGTTTTTGTTCCAGACTATGTTCCAAAGCAAACATTTTCAATATTCAGCATACAATGAAGATTCTCACCTGAGAAAGTTGTTCAGTGATTGATGCAGTCCTACCTTTAATGCCAGCATCACTGGACACACTACAAATACAATTAACGGTGTTAAATACATACAGCTGTATGTTACACATAATTTTATGAGAAAATAAGTAATACATGAAAATACTTGCTGAACTGTTCAGCGAATCAGTTTTACATCTGTATTAATTAATTTTTAAATCATGCAATTAAAGCAAAGTGTAAGTGTGTGTATTTCAAAAATGTGTCTTGAATATCATACAGTTACTGTAATACAATGTATGCAGAAAAAGCGCAGACTCAGGTTCAGAGATTGTATCAATTATTTTGGAACCCACTCCGTCGAAAAAGATCTTGCAGCTGCCCAGCAACCACTTACATGTAAATCAGTTAGAATGTGACACTGGTCTGCTAAGAGATATGTGTACATGTACTTCATTTACACCTGTAATCATGAAACAGTATGGAGAATGGGAGGAAGTCTTTGTGCCCTGTAGACTATTGATAGCTCATTAATTTAAAAAGGAGATATTTTCAGCAAGATACTGTCAGTTCTTTTACATGACATTGTGCAAAATACAGCTTGACAGGTTCCACAAGCCATGATTACAGCCCAGACACAGAGCACCACTGCTACTGTAAGTGATGATTGTTACCTCAGCTGTGATACAGAGTCTGTAGATCTTTTCCTTGTACCAGATGGCTCAGACAAAATGTCAGGCAATTGATCTGTGCTTTGAGAAGTGACAGGTTCCTGGACTGTCACTGGAGAGTCAGCTGTTTCTCTATTGGACTTGATCTGTAACAAAAAGGATTTTGTGTATAATTTTTTATTCCTAAAGCATGACACACAGTAAAATGCACTTCCACCACTTTGTAATTTTTAATCAATAATTTTGCAGGTATGCTTACCCTTAAAACTTCAACTTCAAACAAAAGTGAGGAGTTAGGAGGAACTCTGGAAGGTACACCCTGTTACACAAATACACAACATTTCATATTCAGAGAACAGCAAATGAATCAATTACAGCTATCTGTAAAGGTGGGCAGTAAGGCCAGTATGGCAGCTACTACAAAAGGTCTTTCAACAAACAAATTATCATCATAATGATAGTTTCACAATATCTGTGAAGCTGAAATTACATGACTGTAGAGATGCAGAAACTCAATATCACAGTATTAATGAGAGAAAATGACTTGATTATCAAACTACACATAGGTGCAGTTACAAGATATTAATAGTAAATTCTGTTCTAAAATGAATTTAACATGTACTTTTATTATGTACAGTTCGACTCATTCATGGCATATACAATAATTATCATTTTGGTCTTTTGGCTCTTACATACATGTACAAACTTGCCGATGCATAGAATACAAACAATCACTGTTCACGTACTGTTACTGTTTCTCTGTGTCTCTAGGGTGGCCACTCATATTGAGACAGTTTTGCCATTTGTATTTTTTACCTTTTCTCCATATGCCAGAGCTGAAGGAATTGCTATTAACCTCTTTCCACCTTTTTTCATGCCTATTACGCCCTGTTCCCATCCCTTGGACAGACATAAAAACATAACAGTGACTACTTAGTATCATATATCTTTTTAAAAGGGAAGTTACTTGCAATCTTAAGAGACATTCAAGTGAAACATTAGTCAATTAAATCTTAACCACATACTCAGTGATAAAAAAAGCTGTAGTCTGAATACACAATGTACATGTACATGTACCAGCATATTTAGTTCTCACAGTATTCATACAATGCAAGAAGCCTCTTGGACAAAACGAAACCACTCACTACAAGGATGTTTGAACAATCAAACAAGTGAACAAATTATCTAGAGGTGACAGACAAGCTTGAATGTACATGTTGTAATTAATTTTGTCAAGAATTGTAATTGACTAGGGATGAAAAAGACTAACTAACTCAAAGAAATTGAAACCATATAAATTAACTGACATAAAAAAAGTTAACTACACTGTACATTACTGTACAACATACATATATAGTGTAGTGGGTGGACAGACAGTCCCATCAAAGGGAAGAGGGAGTCACCTGGGGATACATGGAATTTACCGACCTGTAGATGGACCAGAAGATCAGTGAATATATGCTGTACCTTGATCACCTTTCCTTTTCCTGTTTTGAATCTAAACGTTTTGTCAGTCTCAGTATTGCCATCAAACACCTGGAAAACAATGAGAACCATTCGTCAATGATCTTTTGAAATACCATCAATATTGATCAATTAACAATTTTCTCATAAAAATTTCTTCTTACAATACTAAGTGAAACATGTCTGCCTTTAAAGTTACAACATCTGGCTTACTTTTCCGAAACCATTATTTGTCCATAACCATCCTGTGTATTTCACTTCCAATGCATCTCCTAGTTCAATGGCCTAAAATAAACAACAATAAATAAAATAATGATTTAAAATAATAATATTTCCTTTGGCATCCATTCCTATATCAGATGCAGACACTTCAGTCCATGACATGAACACATCAACAGATTGACCCTATCATCTAGAGTTGGCTCAGTGCGGTTCAATTCCTTCTCTTAGGTGGTATTGTTCTCAGTAGTCTGGAGTTTGACTCCTTGGTCACATGCACATACAGGTATAAATAGCCCACTGGTCTGCCTCCTGCCAGTTGGGATTTTTTAAACACATTAGGTTCATTTATCATATTTCAGATTTTGTTTATGTTAGCCTTGAAAAGCACCAGTAGGGGAGTGGTCAATTGAGATATGCGACTGGCCATAGTGCTCACTTTGGTTTTGGTTTTACATGTAGAACACTCAATAATTAAATGAAAGGTGCTCAAGTTTAAAATATAAACAGTTTCTACATCTTGAGTCTCACATCGGCCTTTAGTAACCTACTTAGTCTCAGGACTCTCAGAGAACACACATCATTGCAACACTACAGTAAAAATTACCGTTCCGTCACCAAGGACAAGGTCTTGAGTACACAGATTTGATGATGCAGAGTTGAACTTTGATAAACCGACCTATGAAAATACATGTAGCTCAAAATTATAAATTGCACAAGTGTACGTAATAGCAAAATAAATTATAACCATAATTGGTTCTCCATGTGCCTCTAGAGATTTTTCATGTACATGTAATTGGTGCGTGATCACATGGGTATCCGATTACATGTACAGGCACTCAATTTAACCTTTTTTGTAATTGGATACCTACATATACACCAATCACATGTCTATTACATGTACTTTAACATGGCTTCCTTCTTAATATTCCCTACAGTTTCTAAAACTTATGGAAAACACTATGGACTCTTTCGCTCAAAGGAAGTTCATCATGGAATACTAATCCAAAAATAAAATTTGCACCAGTTCTGTACAATGCCACATAGCAGATCACAAGAATGTACTTCTAGTAGTCTAGCAGCTGAAAACAAGAGAACTTTACTCTACAGAAGAGGAAGAAACAAGTTTAAATGTACCTGTTTAGCAAAGTTTGTGACATTTTTGTCTGAGTCAAAGCAGAGTGACCATGTTTGTCTCTGATCATCGTAAAAACTCGCATAATTACCTCCTTGCACCTACAAGATAAAAACACCACACTCAATGTGGCATGTAATTGTGTAATAATATATTGTGCACACAAGATACGTGTTCTTTAACTAAATGAATTTACATTGATGTCAGTGACAATTACCGTAAATGAAAAGTTTCCGTGAATTTTTCCTGTGGTAACTTGCTGTTGTTTAGAAGCGTAAATAAGTATCCTGTACTGAAAGAGAAAGTTAGAACATTTCACAGAGCATGTCAGTTTTCTTGGAGTCATGGTCAAGTAACAAGTAAAAACCTTTGTAAGGACGGTTTCTACCTCAAGGACTCAAAGGTTCAAGTTGGCAGGGGCACTTCAAACACTCTGAAATACGCATACACTATTTCAGACACTGTTCATTTTGAATTGTGAGACAACATTAATTATTTTGAATGTTCTGATCTTCACTCTTCACCTCACAAAATAAGCTCTCTGTACATTCAGGGTTGTTACTGAAACATATAATTTCCTTGAGCCCTGTTTAGTAAGTAATAAATGTAAATTGTATTTCAGCTTCAATCAGTAAGTGAATTCATGACTGCTACTTGACCACATTTGAACGAGTGGATCTTGTGGATAAATTTAGCTGAACATATTTTTTTACATAAAGCTGTGCTGGAACTTTCAAAGCCATCACCACACCTTTTAAATGACAAAGAAATGATAAATGTCACAACGTCTTTGATGAACATTGTTACATGTACATGTACATGACATTTTGACACACTCATACAAATTGTAGTTACTGTATTTTTAATATTTTGATTCTGCCAAGGCAAGTTTATTTTAGACTTAAATTTGTAAATATACAAGGAAGATAATTAAAAAAGTACACTGCAGGGCTCTTGGGATTTAATTTTATATTACATTTGATACTTACATCATTTGCTGAATGATTTGCCAAAACCGCTGCACCCAGTTTTCCCTGACTGGCATATTGACCATTAACACTGTAAAGGGAGGTATATGTAACATGATAATTAGCTAGGGTTTATGCATTTTACTTGGCACAGTTAATGCAAGTTGAAGTTTGAAGACCAAGAACTCATCAGCGACCAAACATACTGTTATCAGTCACTATCAAGGTATCAACTCACTATTTGTAGGCATGAACTGCAGTGGCACATAAGAGTGCTGTTTCACCACCACCAGTCTGCGCTGCTGCAACAACGATACAAGAAAAAGAATAGGAATGCTAATTTATTGTACCGCTGTGCGACATGAATTCCAAATGAACAACATTCAAAAAATGCTGCTTTTAAAAATACAGATTGCTACAAGTAATACTGTAGGCAGTTATAAGGGACTTCGCTGAAAATTCTCCCCATAGGCCAGTTTTAACATTACAGGTACTGAACACTGGTGGATCAGGACCCGGTTTTTTTTTTCGCTTGTCCTGCTGGCGTTTTGTCCTTCTGCGATTTTTTTTTAACCCAAAATAAGGGGGGGGGGGGAGGTGGGCCCCCGGGCTCCTCCCCTTGATCCGCCACTGCTGAAGGTTTGTACTTCACATGTAGGTACTAGTAATCATATGGTTTTAGGTAAAGAGTGACCAAAGAATATTTTCGGGAATGAAACTTATGTTGAATTCGTGAAAATCTTTTTCAAGAATCTGGCAAATCAAATCATATGTCTCCACAAGGCTTATACTCTTTTGAGCTTTTAAAATTCCATGACTTTCCATGACCTTTCCATGACGTTTTCAAGTTTTTCATGACATTTGTTAAGCAGATGTTCTCAAAAAACTCTATTATTTAAAGTATTTTCCCACATTATGATGCATAGAATGCACGCTATTGTTTATTTTTTACTGGGATTAAAACCAGTTTTCTGACTTGTCTGTTATCATTTCAATTTTTGATCTTTTCGGCTTTTTATCCTCAGAAAATATATTGCTTTTCCATGAACTTTCCATGACGCACACTTCAATTTCATAACTTTCCAGGCCTAGAGAATGAAATTATAAAGTTCCATGACTTTCCAGGATTTCCATGACCCATACAAACCCTACTCCAGAGGCCCTGCCCAGCCCTGGCCAGCTGAGAGGGACAGAAATGACTTGGAATGAGAATGAGATTTAATCCACAAAAATATGAAGAACACAATAATGCACTCTGATCTGACAAGAATAAATACAGGGAATACACCCATGGGGATGGGAGAGGAGAGAATATGGCAGGTGATTTACTAAATTACACTGATCTGATGTCCCGTTTCTCGACAACGTCTAGCTCTTGTTTCAATGTGATTTCCCACAAGCCCAGTTATATTGTTTGTACCAAGGCAAACATTTTGATCCGAGGCCCATGTTCTCTTGTAATATCTAAGTTTAGACTTGATTAAGTTTGTGCCGGGTGGGGGTGATGCTCTTTCGACATCACCCAGTTCCGTATCACGATCACAAGCACACAGTACTTACCCGGTTTCTCCTTCTTTGGCTGTTTAGGTGCCGTGTACGTCAGGGATTCATTCCCTCCAGAGAATGACGCTCTATCCTGGCCAAATAACGAAGCAAGCTTCGACGAACTATTCAAGGTAGACAGAACACTGTCACGCGAGATCGATTTTCCGCCATCTTGGACAGCTAGACAGTAAAACAAAAATCGAGCCAAAAAAAGTGACAAAAGGATGTCTAAAGCTCACCCTCTACCCGTCGGCGACATGAAATCTCCTTCATCTTCATCAAGAGGTGATGAAAACATCCTAATCTGGGTAAAAAATCTGGTAACAAAGTTGGAAAAAGGCGCTTTCAAGCGGGCTAACCCAAGATTAAGAAATCGAAACTATCGTTTACTTCCTCTTTGAGGACTGGGTTCTAGTCCTATGCGAGATACCGCTGAAATCGAAAAGAACGATCCATCAAAAGTGTAGTCTTTAATTTTTTTTAATGTCATTTTATGTCATGTTGGCTCCTGTCCTACCTTTCGGATCAGTTGTTTTCTTCTTGAACGACGTTCTTTTTGGAGGTTTGTAGTACTTCAATCCTTCAGAAACTGGCGATTGATTCTCGTCGATCTTGATTAGATCTGATTGGCTGCCTGTTATCTCGACTTCTCCTTGGTTGCTCGCTGACGAAGCAAAGAGCAAATTTATTGAAAACGTGATACTTTGAGGGTGCGTTCCTTTGTGGTGATCTGGATCAGGATCAGTGATCCAAGATCACTTGGATCATGGTGCATCAAAGGAACCGACGGATCCACTCTGGTCACGGATTCATCGGTTCCATTGATGCACCATGATTCGAGTGATCTTGGATCACTGATCCTGATCCAGATCACCCCAAAGGAATGCACCCTCAGTTTCTGGGCAGGAGTCTAATCTAGCCACCTTATTTTGCGGAATGAACAAAATCAGCGCGTGTCGCGGCATCAAAACAAGGTTACTTCGCTGCGCTTTCCATTTAATAAGATTCGCAGGTGTTGCTCAGATCATTCTAGCAGTCCCCCCTTAAAAGGAAATGTCAAATTGAACCCTAGACCCTTAGAACCTGAGAAAGAAAGGACTTTCACGCTTTGTCCTTTATTTCCTTTTTTCCCTTTATTTCACCTACTGCACTGCAGGCTTTATTTTCTACAGGGACTGGCTTAGCGCATACCTTCAGCTTGATAACTACTCTGAGTCGGTTTTTTCAGTAGCTATATTCTGCCCAGCACAGGCATCTCGTTTTCGGGCAGCAGCGCTCCTGTACGCTATTCAAAATGAGCTACTCCAGGGGAGCTTTTCCCTGAAGACAGTTAGTCAAGATGTCTTGTATGTCTTGTCAGACTGTCTGTTTTGTTTTGTTTTGTTTTGTTTTTTGTTTTTTTGTTTTCGTTCAAAAGCGAGCATTCGTTGTTCATGTATGTTGGGCTCGTTTAACGCAATATTTTCCAGTCTCCGTAGGGTTCCATTTTATAGTTCTCTTATAAGGGGGTTATACTTTAAATGGTTCTAATGCTCTAGCCCCTAAGATATGGTCATTTACCAAGAGTGAGGTTAAGATGGCAGGATATTGACCAAGTTGTCTATTTGCGTGTTATACGACCGAGGCGCAGCCAAGCTTAAAAGCGAACGTCGCCAAATGTTGTTATCCAACCATCTTGACCGTGCAAACTTGGTCAGTAAAATAATGATTTATATTATACGATTTCGAGGACACCATTTTCCTTGCGGGACACAGCGGGCAATCCCGAGCAGACAAGAAGACGGCAACCTTAGCAATCTTGCCCACACGTGTAGCCAATGACAACGCAAGATTTGGTTTATCTTCCCCACTCGCAAAGCTACGTTATATTATACCACAAGGGTGAATATGAGTCATTCTAACTTTGTACTGCCGTATCGCCGAGAATCTCAAAGTCTTCATAGCTTTGCTCATACAGCATGGTGTCTGCTGGAGCGACCGTGGCAATTCCATGAGAATCGTCAGCTTTAGGGTAGTGTGATATCCAATCTAAATACAAAATAAGAACGGGGATTAATGGTGCAAGCCCGCGCAAGGTTTATAGCCAGCCCGGCCCTTTTTAACAAAATAATTAAATTTATTAGAAGTTTTTACACTCTGTATTAATAATAATAGTAATAATAATAATAATAATAATACTAATAATACTAATAATAATGTTTATTAGTGGCTTATTACAACTGTAAAAATTCTTAGGACAATATATATGTCAGGGAAATACTAACTTACAAACGAATTACAAATTACATTCATTCTTTACAACCCTTATAAATTTGTCTATTGTCATTTGTCGAAAAAATTTAAATAAGAATAGTAAAAAATACTCTATACATTTAAATGGCAAAAACTCTACTTTAAAAATACACTGTAGCTATATACAGGTCCACTTCTTGCTTGCTGCCTGAATATCTGGTCTGGATCCAAATCTCTATAGGAGTATGCATTCGGATGGCATACTCTGACATCAAAAAAAGCCGACGTCTGCCTCTCCCAGAATCCCCTAGCAACTATATCCAGCCGCGCATCAGGGGCTGGATATAGTAATAATAATAATACTTATACTAATAATAATAACAACAACAATAATAATAATGACATGTTTATATAGCACCTATTCTACAAGATTCAAAGGCGCTGCTTCCACTAATGAAAAATAAAAAAATAACAAAAATAAAAAACAAAATGTTTTACTACCATGAAGAAATCAATTACTTTCTATCCACCGTTGGCGATTCGAGCGATTGAATTTTTCTAAAATGTATATTTCAACTCGAAGATAAATATAACAAGGAAACCGCAAAGTTCACAAGGTGGTCCTTTTGTTTTGTGGTCTGATTGGTACAACGTAACCCGTGACTCGTCACGCGCTCTCCAGCTACTAAGAACAAGTCTTAAAAACAGTATTAAATCAAGTTCTTTTCAAGGCTGTGATCAAAAATGTGAAACACATGATCGTTACCGTTTACGGAAAATTATGTGAAAAGCACCAACAAGTGCAGCCGATGTACAACACCACACAAAAGCTTGAAGCTGTACGCTGTCCTATAAATATGCATGTTCATATTGTGCTTCACCTACCGTGAACATTCTCTCTCATTATTTGTATCACTTCTCACAATTTAGACGAGGAAGTTTGAGCGAAATGTCTTCACATAAAGTCAGTGTGGCATTCCCTGCTGCTTTAAATGTTACAACACGTGGAAGCGATTGAGCAATGCTAATCATTAGCCGGTAATAGCTGAGAGTATAATTACAATTTGACCGATGGTGAATTTGACAGTGATTGTACATCACGACCCCTTACCTTTGTCTTCAGGGACGTAGTCGGTGGACACATGATCATTTCCACGAACTGAAGATCCTTTTTCTTGCCTGACTTCTACGGAATCCACGAATCGTATGATACTGTTTTCCTCGGCCTTACTCTCTACAGCTCCCATAAAGTTTTAAAGCGGAACAATGTACTTCTAGTTGTGAAAGCTTTCATATTCGCCACAGTGGCTCCCCGAGAAAAGGATTACAAAATCATCGATGATCGAAAACTTAACATTCTCATTTGTACATTTGCTTACTCAAAGTTTAAAAATTATTCCTCGGAAAACATTTCAAACAATAAAAAATGCGAAAAGAGAGCCCGCAGTCGCTGAAGCGTACCAAATGTAAACAGCTGACTTTGGTCATTTGCATAATTGGATAACATTTGCGTGACAAAATGTTGACTTGCGTGACGTGGGGCAAGACTACAGCCTCTTTGGCAGGGGTCCGAAGAGGAGGGAAAGGGGAAAAAACGAGCGCGCGAAGCGCGTGATGGTAGGGAAAGCGTGCTCGATCCTCCCACGCTTATTTTGACCCTTTCCCTCCCCTTGTACGGCCTGCCACGCAGGCTGGGGCAAGACGAGAGGAATTGAAGAATGCCAGAGAGTCGATGAGAATCCAAACATTTCGAGAAACGCTGATGGAGGTCCTGATGTGAAACAGAGCTTCCCTTCGTCTGTTTCGGTACATCTAGATGAACTAACAAAACAAATTCTTCTAAACTCAGTGGTAATATCCTAAACTGTAACTACACCGAGCGCTATTCTGATTGAGAGACTGTATCCTAGGTATTGGTAAGTGCGCTATATAAACTAGTTATACAACGAGTGGCATACCATGGAATATCCCACTTGCCACCTGTATTTTGTCGGTATACACACTCACCCGGCCCTAAGGCTCGTGTGTATACCAAGAAAATACAAGTGACCCGTGGGATATTCCATGGTATGCCACTTGAGAGGGTCAGAGAGCAC